GGAGCAGAACCGAACGGAAGAAGTGCTAGGGAGAACAGAAGTCCAGACATGATCCAGAGCTCTTCCGAGTCTTGTGGGAATTATGCAATCTTCCACATCTGAGTGGAACTTCTGAAGGACTCCACTCATGTGAGTCCACTCGTGAGGTGAACTGTTGTTGATGAAGTCCCGCCACCACTCCGGACGGTTCTCTGCCATCCTACGGAGACGCTGGACCGGTAGCGTTAACTGGAACTCCGTATCCGCTGATTCATCGTCAGAGAGGTAATGAGTCGAGTTTACTACCGAGCGTACCGAGAAAAGCTGGGTTCGAATGGAGGGTGCCGTTCTGTTCAACACTTTCACTCACACACCATTTCCCTCCCTCTAAACTTCATCTTTCCATCTTTAAACTCTTCTATCTGCTAGAAATCATTCCAGATATTTTCAAAAATGTCTGTTGTGAAGCAAAGGGAAATCAGGGCCGGATGGTTTTCCTGTTTGTAAAGCTGATTAATAAGCTGTTGTTATTTTCAATTTTGCCAAATTAATGTAAATGTTTGATGTTAAATTTTGATTCTGAAAATAAATGACCACATTCATTTGATGGGTCAAAGAAAATTAACGTCTCACGTTACATCTTATTAAATTCAATGCACGATATTATTCAGTCCAGAAAAATGAAGGAATCCGTTTAATTTATGAATATATCACAGAATATGTTCATCTACACATGTGACTATGTTGGCATAAAATACTCGACCTGCGCATGCGCAAAAATGATCATTCAGTGCTTTATGCACAGCATCTGGCGGTCAGTAGGGATTCATAGAACCATAGTTACAGCTGTAACTTTCGTTTCAATGACAAGAAATCTGCTCCCCAAGTTATGCCCACCAGACACCTCATAACATTTAAAACCTTCTTACACTTATCAATAATCCAGACAATATGATGATTCCAAGTTAAATGAGAATCAAAATTAACACCTAAGAAACGAAAAACATCAACTATCTCTAAATTTCTTCTATACAATTTCAATTTAAATTCACCTCTATTCCTTCAGAGGTTAGCTTTTTCTTCGTGAATTTTATTAGTGCTTATTATTGTCACTGTGCATTACCGCCACCTGCTGGTATATATCAGAATTTGTGTTTTCTTGTTTTACCATTACCATACTACTTTATAAAGCACTTAAAACAGCAACAAGGCCAACCAAAATGTTGTACAGCAGAACAAGCAAACAAAGCACACAGCAAAAAAACAAACAAACAAACAAAAAAAAAAACAGACCTAAATGGAAGATAGCAACTAAATGGCTAACATTGTAGAATACAGAGAGGATAAGATCAAATCACAGTGTCAAAAGCCAGGGAATAAAAAGTGAGTTTTTAAGTGAGACTTAAAAACAGTGAGAGAAGGGGCCTGCCTGTCATGTAGTGGTAACTCATTCCATAGTCTTGGACCTGCAACAGAGAAGGCCTGGTCACCTGAGCTGAAGACTGGTTCCTGGAACCATCTGATCTGCTGACATCAGAGAGTGCTTTGGGACATATGGCTGCAGAAGATCAACGAAATAAGAGGGACCAGAGCTGCTCAGAGAGTTAAAAACAAACAGAAGGATTTTGAACTGAATTCCAAAGTGAACCAGGAGCCAGTGAGGGAGACCAAAATGGTGTATCGGACTGCAGCATTCTGGACCAGTTGTAATTTTGTCTTATGTGCTGTCCATAATCATATTCTATCAATTAACTTTGTTTTCCGAAACAACTAAATTAGAATTTGAATTATTTTACTCATTTCTGTAGTTATTTTAATACGATAAATGTTCAGTTTTTTATTTATTATTATTGATCTTATTTCTGATATCTCTGGCATACTACAATTACTTGTTCTACCGTATTCAACAAATCTCTGTCAGGTCATCTGGACGGTTTCTTTTTTTGCCGAGACGTTTTGTCCTTCATCCAAAGAACTTAATCAGTCCAAGAACCCACAAAGAACTTGGTCCCACACACACTCACATTGTGGGCCAACTAGTTTGCTGGTGATAACATGGTTTATGGGGCCTGCTCTCTCCCCCATCGACTCCTCTGAGGCAGCCATAGCCAAAGTGGTTCAAAACGTAAAAGTGCTTAACCTGGATTATTGAGCATGAACTTTGATGCTCGTTTGCTCTCTCCACAATGTTGACAATTTCCAGTTTCATATTGTTATTTTCTAAATAATGAACTGTTGAGTTTAGTGTGTCCAAATCTTATTCTTGTTATGATCTGATGTATTCAATAATCCAGGTAGATAAACAAGACCTGACTCTAATGCCACTTTTGTTGAAAAGTTCCATCTTTCATCCAAGACTTCTTCAGTCAGAGGAGCTGCAACAAACTCATTCTCATCAACAGACTCAGCACCTTCTCATAGTGGATCAACCTTCATTCATTGTTAGGCTGATGGTCCTCCTTTTACATGTGAGCAACTAGTATTGGCTGTCACCAGCAAACTGGTTGATCCACTATAAGAAGTTACTGCTTATAAGACTGACTTTACTGCAGCTCCTCAGACTGAATAAGTCCTTTAGATGAAAGACGAAATGTTTCAACAAATAAGAATCAGTCCAGAGGACCTGACTCAACCTTGTTAGATTCATTCTTGTTAAATTCTCTTCTACTCTCTTCTATCAGAGAAGTCTGTTGGAGTCAGCCTCCCCACCATCACAAACATCTACACCTCCAGATGCAGGAAGAGGGCCACCTGCATCATGAAGGACCCCACTCACCCAGCACACACACTTTTTGCCCCGCTCCCCTCAGGCAGGAGGTTGAGGAGCATTAAGTGTAGAAACACTAGACTGAGGAACATCTTCTACCCTGAAGCTGTTAAGACTCATGAATCCCTAATCAGGATAATCACTGTGAAATAATCACTGTAATGCTACTTGATTGTTGATATGTGCTGCTGATTGTAAGAGAGATAATATGCGTCTGATATTATCCATAATTTAAACGGATTCTTTCATTTTTCTGGACTGAGTACGATCGTGCCTTGAATGATTAAATGTGGACGGAAACGTGTTTTATCTTTGACCCACCACAACAGTGAGCCGTTTAATTAAAAACGATTTAAAACAACATCACACATTTACATTAATTGGCAGATTGATTACAATTAACAGCTTAATTAATGAGCTTTACAATGAGAAATCATACGGCCATGATTTCTCACTTGCAACTGAAATACAACAGACATTTCTGAAAATATCTGGATTAATTACTGGCAGATAGAAGAGTTTTAAGATGGGAAAAATGAAGTTTAAATGGAGAAAATGGATGAGGAAAAAGTGTCTGTATAACCAGATCAGCACGCTTCTTTAGACGCAGCTTAATCCACGGTACACTAGCAGTTGAAGATCGACTCTTTTACCTTTGCAGACGATAGTTTCAGCTTCGGCGTAGAGTTTTCTTTCAACTCTTTTCAGCGTCTCCGTAAGAACAGCTGTGACCTCAGGAGTCGTGAGATCATCACAGAACAAACTTCCTCATTGTTCAGAGCGTTCGTCGGGTAGAGCCACAGCGAGACGTCGTGGCATCGACGGACTCGTCACTCCATTAGAAACTGCTCGGAACTTCTGTTCCTCTGAACTTCTCTCGTTCAGGAACTTCTCGTTCGAGGTTCTCCCTGGAACTCTTGTTCTGCTCTGGAACGTTGTTCTGCTCGGAACTCTTGTTCTACCTGGAACTAGGAAGTGTCGACCCTTTTAAAGAGGTCACTTCCGGTTCCTCTGAGAACTTCCTGATTGGTTGAACGAACCAACCGGGGTGTGGTTTTAGTGACGTCAGAGGGTCATTACATGTCAAGGAGACAGAGTAGATGTTTTAAGAACAGACAGAAAGATGTTTTGAAGAAACAGAGACATTTAGGAGCCAGTCTTCCTTCTATCTGTCTGAGAGAGTTAAACATGACATTTCGTTCCGATAAACATGTTTTTGACCGTTCCTTGACTTTTGACCGACTCACTCCTTCTCATTTCAGACAGAAGATCAAAAATGCATCATTACTTTGTAACAGACATCTAACTTGATTTCTACTTTGAATGAGGATTAAAAATCATTAATACTGTTTCACAGTTGATTTAAAGTGAGTAGTTCACTTCAACATTTAAAATGGTTTGAACTAAACACACTTTGATTATCAAGATATTGTAAAATAGTAATGATAATAAAAAGAGAGTGTTCTTTCAATTGATTAGTGCAGGACACACTTAGAAAGTCTCTGGATGAGCTTAATTTGTATTTCTGGACTCAAATCAATGAAATAACAGTTCCTGTCCCAGGATCAGGTTTTGACCTGAGGCTTAGTTCACTACATGATTATCCATGCTGCCGATTTCATTTACTGGTAATCAATAATTTTCTGAATGTGTATTTTCCATATTAAATTCTCCTTAAACCATATTCCTAAAAACATTTTGCACTCAACTAATTTTATTTCTTGATTATTTATTTTCATTTTTTTGTAACTTTTGTTATTCTTTTCTGTGCAAGTACAATTGTGTTTATTTTCCCCACAGAAAATTTAAACACCTGCTTTCATGTCCATTTTATTAAAATCTTGTATTTTCTGTGAACTTTAGTTTTCTGCTTTCAGATTACCACATCATCTGCAATGAGTAAAATGCCCATCCTCTTTTCTTTCTCTACAAAAACATTTATCATTAAAGAAAAACGAAAAGAGCCTATTATGCTGCCTTGTGGCACTCCGTTTTATACAAGTTTTCTATAATATTTTGGTCCTGTTCTTTCTTATATGGTTATTTTTAATAAACATTTGGATCCTTTTAAACCTGTTTCCAGTAATAATCTATATACTTTAATTATTAACCTGTCAATCCATGACATACACTCTTTGATTCATCCTGTTCAACCTGAAATGTTATACAGCTGAGTAACCTTCACAACTCCATCCTGTACCTGCAGCTACATTGTGGGATTTTTAAAGACAAATTTCAAAAACATACTTCACTGGGTTATGGTACATTTTCACTGTATAAATAAACACTCAAAAACAGGAAATGTGGGTTTAATAAATCCTTTAACACATTCAGTTAATCTATAACACAAACACAATTTTCCATGTAATTCACAATAGATTCATCCATGTTATTCACTGTTCAATTTATTTACTGCTCATTCACTTCCTGTTATTAGTCAGTGGAAACAAGTTGATCGTTTTTACAGTGTTAATAATGATAATTGTATGAATGATACTTCTAATAAAACATTGTTCTTATATTTACAGGAAACGACTTCAGATGTTCACATCAAGCTGCAGCAATGGAGGCGTCGTCCGGCTGTCGACCCTGAGGCTGGACACAAACACACGCTCAGCTTTTGTTACGACAGATGAATGTTTCTCAGACTGACATGAGCCGTTACCTTAACAAAGATCCTTTGAGGCAGGAAGCGTCTCAATGCCAGAATGTTGGAGGCGGGGCAGCGCGGCAGGCTGATGTTGAGGTGTGGTAGTGTTTGGTAACCAGCCATCAAAGGGTAATAGTTATACAGCATGTGCTGCTCTGTACCAGGGAGGACAAGGAGACGCACCTGCACACAATCACACTCATCACTTTGTGCAGTCAGACTGTACGGTTTGGACCAGTTTCTTCATCAGCCAAGCCTATGACCCTTCTGGACCATCTAAAAAATGAATACTAATTTTATTTAAAGCTAAGTGATTGATCACTGCTCTCTCATTGGCTTTGCAGTGCCTTTCACAGTCATTATATCACCAGTGTGACTCTGATCCAATGTTCATATTTTAAATCAGTTCTTCATTCATAAAAATGTTAACTTCCTGTGAGTTTGATGAAAACACATTTAGAATACTGTAAACATTTAACAGTCAGTGTACCTGTTTGAGTCCAGAGAACATAAAGGCATCAGACGGTTCCACAGCTATTTCCACCTCCTGAACCAGAGCTGTTCGGTTCTCAATGTGGTACCGAACAGGTAGGGACTCTCTGACCCGTCCAAAAGACGGCAAGTCTGTATCAAAACAGGAACAAAATAGATAACCAAAACAACTGACTGTCAAATTTCTACTAACAAGAAGATAATTAAGTTTTAAAAGGATCTCCAACTACCGTAATTTCTGGACTATAAGCCGCTACTTTTTTCACACTCTTTGAACACTGTGGCTTATGTCCAAAAAAGTTCAATCTGGTCCTCTGGACATTCAAAAAACAAGAAAACAACAAAAAAAAAAAAAAAAAAAAAAAAAAATGTAAAAACGTTTTTTTTGCTTTGTTTATTTTATTTTTTTTTTCTTGTTTTTTGAATGTACAGAAGACCAGATTGAACTTTTTTGGATTTTTCTACCTGGATTATTGAGCATGTATCAGGATACTGTGGCTTATACAATGCTGTAGCTAATTTAGGGATTTTTATTGGCCAACGAGCTTCATGCTGCCAAAACATTTAGCCTCGTCACACCCGGAAACTTTCATAGCTGCCCAAAACATGTCTTGTGATCAGATGATACACGTGATTTCTGGGGGCACAACCAAGTATTTGCAGTCACTCAACATCCGTGCGAAACATGCATTTAAAGCGACACTTTAAAACTGTGTCTCAAGTCTGCCAGTGGATCCTGACAGCAGAACGGTGTCAAAGAATCCACAATCGCCAACGGGTTTCGAAAGGCTGGACTGCTGTGTGATGAAGAGGACAGCACAAGCTCAAGGGCGAATTTGCCTCGAGATGAAAGTGATGTTGAGAGCGACAACGAAAGAGAGACAGAGGACATGTGTGATGCAGGTTTTCTGAGGCTGTTCAATTCTGACACTGAAGAGGACGACTTTAGTGGTTTTAGTGCACAGGAGGAAGATGAGGATAGAGATCAATGACTTCCTGGAAAGCTATCAGTGTTTCCCCTACCATTATTCAAGCAGGGCGCCCCGCCCCGTCAACGGAACCAAGCGCCCCGTCTACCGACCTCACCCCCCATCCCAACCACCTGTTGGCACTGACGTAACGCTAAACTAGCAGCTCGCAACGCAAGTGCATGAGCTGAAAACCTAAAGGCAGCCTTTTCCCTCAGGCTGAACACTCACCCCCACTCAAAAATTGTCAGGAAAAAACAGCACACGGCTCAGATGTGTCTCTGTTCCCCTCCACCCCCCGCCCGCCCCCCTGTCGGTTCAGACAGTGCGCGGCTGAGGTGTTTTTGTCTCTCTCCTCTCCCCCACCTCTGCTCTAAAACAGTTAGTGCAAACGGCGCAGCTGTGCATTCTGGGTAAATGATGTAGGCAGGTTGCTCCGGTGAGAGCTCCATTCAACTTGAATGTTAATTTTAGACGTTATCTGACGTTCAGCCATTTAATTTGAACAGGAGTGTATTGACAGAGAGGAGAAAGAAGAAATGAATCAGCTTTCACGTTAGCTCCAGAGCTAATAAATTAAACACCATAAGTTGATCACGTTTGATCATTTAAAACTAGTTATTAGTACTAGTCATTAGTTCTTACTGGGTGTAAGAACTAATTCAAAATATAACTTCATTGTCACATTAATTTAAAAAAAATTATAACCGAACAGAACCTATGAGAATTGTGCTGTTGTTGTTCGGTGTATTGTTTTGCACTATTAGTGACTGGCATATACCTTAGATCTTTTAGCGTACCGTTTGACGTCTGTTTAGCATATATCTTAGTTTATATCTCAGTTTCTTATTTACTGTTTCTTTTTACACTTTATATTTTTGCTATTGTTGGATGTAACCGGGACCCTGTGTACACAATTTAATTCCACCACGTCCAAATGGACTCTGACATAACTTTTTAGCTTCAGCTCCTTGTGTTTTAGTCTCCTCTACAACCAATATACATCAGTCCTTAGATGAAAAATGTAATAAACTTAATATTTTTAAGGTAATCAGGAGTTTTCACATGTCACAACAAACATGAACTTTTAGTAGAACAGAGAAATAAGATATTAGGGCCAATATGTGCAAGCTGTTGGAGATCCCTTTAACACAGCAAAGATGATCTGTCAGAGGCTTTAGTGAGAGGATGATTTATTTTGAACAGCTGATACTGACCAGCATGGATATAAACAGGAACAGGTTCCAGGATGATATGAGGTAGAGTGACTGCACTCTGGATCAAAGGACTCTCAAAACCGGAAGGCTTTCTGTTGACCACAAAACCACCTTTAGCAACTTGGTCATACTCACACTTCATGCTGATAAACTGTTAGCATGTGTGTACCTCCTCCATGAGATTAGGTACTGTCCTGTAGCCAGAGTGTTGGCGCTATTGGTTCCTGGTGGACATCGTAGACAGAAACACTCACTGGCACTCTCTCCTGTCTGCAGAACCACTGAACACATGAACAAACACACCATAAAACAATCAGAGGACTAACAACCTTGTGATTTTCAGCTGGGATGTATGTTAGGTAGCCTGGTACCCTGCTGAAGCTGGGACTCTGGTTGTGCTGTGTTACTGGTCACTGTCTGCAGCTGCAATGAAGAGGAGCTCAGCAGGAGAGGCCACGGTGAGGATGACAGGATGTCCGTCAACAGTAGGAAGGGAATGTCCATCGTGACCTGCTCCAATGGTTCAAACTAAAAAGAAACAAAGAAGTGATCTTCCCACTAAATCACACTGCCAGCTCATGCTAACATTAGCCACAACGCTAACACAAACAGTCAAAATACCAGTACATCTACACTGATCTGTAAAACAGTTTCTAATGACAACAGTTTCCACAAAGTATGATGTAGGCTGGAGATGCTGCTAATGCAACCAGACTGTTCAGAGGCTTTAAGGTTGCAGTTATTAAATCTTTACTTAAGAAATTTGATCTGGATACAGGAGTCCTGGTCAATTATGGATATATATCTAATCTCCTGTTCATTACAAATCAATTGAGCACAGAAATAATCTGAAAAGTTTCAGTCAGGGTTTAGAGCTCATCATAGCACAGAAGCAGCACTAGTAAAAGTCACTAATGATATTCTCATAGCCTCAGACAATGGACTTGTGTCTATACTGGTCCTGTTAGACCTCAGTGCTCCATTTGATACAGCTGTTCACAATATTTTACTACAGAGATTTGAATATGATATTGGAATTACAGAAACAGCTCTAAAAAAAGTTTACAGCCCATTTGCCTGGCAGATTCTAGTTCATATTATTGAATCTTCTTCCTAAGCCAGTTAGTCATGGAGTTCCCTACATTATAAATGCTTCCATTTGGTAAGCTTATAAGACAAAATAGGATACATTTTCATAGATTTCTTAGATTATAAGCATGTCTGGAAACATGAGATCATATCTAGAACATGTCTGGAAACAAAACCTGGATGACTTAATTTTCTGCTTTTAAACTCAGACAAGACAGCGGTTGTGGTTTATGGACCTGAGCATCTTAGGAATAAATTTTTCAGTCTTTCAGTTTCTCTGGATGGCATTAATCTGGCCTCCAGTTATAAAGTTAAAAATCTCAGTGTTATTTTTGATCAGGACATGTTTTTTAAACCCCATAGTAAAAAAAAGTCTCCAGGAAAGCGGTTTTCCAGAACCGCTTTCCTTCACCTGTGTAATATCACTAAATTAGAAACATCTTATCTAAAAATGACGCAGAAAAACTGGTTCATGCATTTGTCACGTCTAGACTGGACTATTGCAATGGTTTATTATCAGAGTGTCCAAATACTTTAAAAAGTCTTCAGCTGATCCAAAATGCTGCTGCCAGAGTCTTAACTGGAGTTAGTAGAAGAGATCATATATCTCCAGTTTTAGCTTCTCTCCATTGGCTCCCTGTCAAATCCAGAATTTAATTCAAAATCTTACTTCTAACCTACAAAGCTCTCAACAACCTAGCTCCATCTTATATTACAGATATTACTGTTCCATATTTTCCTAACAACAATTTCCTCTTAGACTGCCGATTTACTTGTGGTTCCTATAGAATTTCTAAAAGCAGAACGTCTCCAAAGTCTCTAAAATGAACAACAGAATCGGCGGACTGTACTTCTTCAAGAACACCATTCAAAGACTCCAAGAAGGCCAGAATCTGAACTGCTGTTTGGTGCATCAGAACAAATAACAGACAGAATTTGCCTCCAGCAGCTTGAAGTTGCAGAGTTCACTCTTGTTTACCGAGGACAACTCAAAGATCAAGTCGCTTAGCCAGGAGCTTGTGAGTATCCTTACACCCGCCTGTTCTCCAGTTTTCTAAACTGGTTTCTAATCAATGGCTTGAATTCAAGTTAACCACCCGCACCTCTTTTAACAATGAAGCAAAGCTAGCTCCACTACAACATCAGAAAATGTTAGACAAATCAACCAGAACCTGTTGAAATCTGCTGTTTGGGAGAAGTAAATGGTAAATGGACTGTACTTGTATAATACCTTTCTGTCTTATGAAGATACTCAAAGCTGTTTACAACACAATCTGTGCTCTCATTTACCCATTCATACAGCTCTCTACTAGATCTGTACAAAGAATAATCAGAGCTTTATCACATTCATACACTGATGGGACAAACATCAGAGGCAATGAGGGGTTCAGTGTCTTGTCCAGGAACATTTTGGCATGTGACTGCTGGTGGAATTGAACCCCCAACTCTCGCACTGGAGGACGACTGCTCTAAACACTCTACCACAGCTGCCCCTACAGGTTCATTACAAGTTGTTTTCATTTTCTTTTCACATTGGAGAGTATTTAGTTTGAGAAAAAAAACCCGAAAAAAACCAAACATTTTTTTAACTGGGGAAGACTATTCTGTTTCGTATTGAGTTCCCTGTTGAACTACATAACCAACATTACAAAACACTGGTCTTTTTACATTAATCCTCCTGTACTGAAAATGTTCCAAATGGTGATTTTTGTGTACAGTTACACCTGTGATAAAAATATACAATCACTTCAATGAGAGTCCAATAACCACAACAGAAATAAAAACACGATCAAACAGAAAAATCAGCTGCATACCTTTGTGGATACAAACTTGACTGACACCTCAAATGGGACCACGGTTTCTATAGTTACAGTCTCATCCTGAAAGACACACAAAAAAAACAGGGGTCTAAAAAAAAGAAAACCACTTGATTGTTTCCAGAAAGCGCACAAAGGGTTTTCTGTTTGTACCTTATGACACCTGCAAATAATCTGTTGTCCTTCCACGGCTGTATCAATGCTGTAGGCCAAATGGAATAAGAAGAGCCTTGGTCCAGTAGAGACACATCTCACATACACACATCTCTCCAACTAGAACCAAACACAGATATAGGAGTCACTATCGTTCTGCTGTGAGGGAAGCAGATAGATGTGAAACAGATGTGCACCTTTTCTCCTGGCTTCAAATCACCTAGAGGCACATCAGTAAGTAGAGCAAGAGCGCGGTCATCACATATGACTAAGTTGTCCAGGGTCACATGGGTGGCCTGGCCTAAGTTAGCATCCTGACCTGAAACAACAAAGGAGACATGTAACTACAGAGTAAAGAAGGGGGCACTTGTTTCCCTCATTTCATTAAATGTATAGTTCTCGTAAAATTAGGTGCACCAGGTCATCTATTTGCCTTTTTACTAATCAGAACTCAACCACAGACGTAGAATTTGTTCAATTACAGGAAAGTCTGTAAATTCTTACCAAATTACTTTTATTGTAAATACCATACACATAAACTGAATGAAATTGAAACACTGTGGCTAAGTAACACTGTATGTTTATGATGTTTTGCTGAGATTCATTTTTCTGCGTGGTTGTTCACCTAATCATTTGAACTCGAGTAGCATCAGATTATAGTGAGAACAATCTACGACTGCTTGTTTTGTCAAATGCTAACATTTGATCTTGCCACCTACTCAGAGGCACAAGATTGCACTTCTAAAAAAAGTGGCATACTGAAAATAGAGAAAAACAATCACAAGTATTTATCCCATCATCAAGTATCAATATAATTAGATGCCAACATTAAGACTGATAATGGCACACCTCTACTCCAATAATGTACAAGGTGGATGAAATGCAACAAGACCATTCACAGTAAGATCCCTTTGAAAAACATTAAATATGTATTTGATTTAGTACACCATATAAAAGTGACCTAGGTTGGATTTGAAAAAAAAGAAGAATGTGATGTCCAGACAGTTAGGGCTGTGGTAGCACACTGATCAGTGATATAGTCTTGTAATAATAAGGCTGCAAATTCAAGTCCACATTATCTGAAAAATGCAAAAGTCATTTTCAAAGTATTCTCTTATTTCCAAAGTCAATGGGAACCCTGTAGTACACCTCACACTGAGTAATGACTCAATAGACCTCACACTGAGTAATGACTCAACAGACCTCACACGAGTAATGACTCAATAGACCTCATACTGAGTAATGACTCACTAGAACTCACACTGAGTAATAACTCACTAGACTTCACACTGAGTAATGACTCACTGGATCTCACATTGAGTAATGACTCACTGGACCTCACACTGAATAATGACTCACTAGACTTCACACTGAATAATGACTCAATGGACCTCACAAGGAGTAATGACTCACTGGATCTCACACTTAATGCCTGACTGGACAATACACTAAGTAATAACTCACTGGGCATCACACTGAGTAATGACTCAATAGACTTTTCACTGAGTAATGACTCAATAGACTTCACACTGATGAATAACCGACTGGACACTTCACTGAGTAATGACTCACTGTACCTCACACAGTAATGACTCACTGGATCTCACCCTTAATGCCTGATTGGCCAATGCACTGCGTAATAAACTCACTGGGCATCACACAGAGTAATGACTCACTAGACTTCACACTAAGTAATGACTCAATAGACCTCACACTGAATAATAACTCACTGGACAATTCACTGAGTAATGAGTCACTGTATGTCACAAAGAGCAATGATTCACTTGATCTCACACTGAACAATGACTCAGTGGACACTAAACTTTAAAAACATGTCAGGACTTCATTTTCTGCATGTAAACGCACATAGCCTTCTGAGAAAACTTGATGCCTTGAAAATTTGGGTCAGTTCTTCTGGGGCAGATGTAATCTTCATCTCTGAAACCTGGCTCAACAAATCTGTACTGAATAATGACCTGGTAATCAATAGGTATGTTTACATGGACATAAGTAACTGGATCAAATGGTCGGTCGGAATAAAAGTGTGTCATGTAAACACTCCGTTCGGTTTAATTTTTGTGCATTCGGCGCAATCCAATATAATTTGTGATCAGAACGAAACGGGTGGTTTACGCCGATCCGTAACCTGATAGGTGCGCATGTAAACGCTTGATCTGTTCGTTTTTATCTGATCGTGAAAAACTGACCTGACTGCGCATGTGCGACTTTGCCATTTCTGCCTGGCTAATGCTAATAATATTAGCATGTCAGGGAAGCAAAACTGGTCGGTGAGCGACACAACATTTCTACTAGAAACTTTGAAAGAGCTCAAAATGATCTGTATTACCTGTAGCTCAGTCAGGGAGTGCAGTAACGTCTCCACCATCATATTAAAACCTGTTGCAGGTCCATTTTGGGTGCTCAGGTTTGTTTACGTTCACCCAGAAGTAGAACTTCTTCTTCAGTGTTTTTTTTTTTAAGGAGAGTTTACCACTCTGCACATGTCAGTACTGCTGTTCTGAACAAAGCCCACTGCATGTAAACGCTTGACATGAACAGATTGTGCCCATGTAAACAATACATTTGAATTATTTAATCTGAAAACATTTCAATCCGGTCAAAAAATGTTGCGCATGTAAACATAGCTAATGAATTTAACATATACCGCTGTGATCATCAAAAAAAGGGGGGGGGGGGGGGGGGCGCTATTTACATCAGAAATTCTCTGGTTGCTAGTCTTGTGTCTTCTAAAACAATTCCAAACCAAATTGATGCCTTAGCTGTAAACATCACTTTGAATGGAGGCCAGATCTTATCTGTAGTGGGTTGTTATCGTCCCCCTTCAGCAACACCTGAGGCTCTGTCCTCCCTGATGGAATTCTTTGGTAATTTAAAATTCAAAGAGATTTTTTGGTAGGAGATTTCAACATTGACTGGGAAAAGTCGACCCCACCTCTGTGATTAATTCAAGAAATGTTGCCTGTCTCTCAATCTGACCCACATCTTCAATCTCTCCATAAACCAAAACTCCATTCCAAATGCTTGAAAAACGGCCTTTGTTCATCCTTTGCTGAAGGGATTGACTCTCCCACTAGATCAAACAAAAACCGTCCTGAAAAATCTTCCATCTTAGACCTGTTTCTAACAAATATGCCTCAAAAATTCCCTGGTACAGGTGTATTCGCTAACATTTTGAGTGATCATTGTGTAACAGCGACTCAGAGATATTAAACTTCCACCTTCTAAGCCCAGATTAATTCAAAAAAGGGATCTGAAATGTTTTTGTGAACAGTCATTCCTCTGGGATCTGTCTCACTTTGATTGGCATCGTATTCTATTAATTGATGACGTGAACTCCGCTTGGAACTATTTTCATAATAGTTTCATTTATTTTGTGAACAAACATGCTCCTTTTCGTCAGTTCAGAATAAAGGGACGAGACAGTCCCTGGGTTACTCCAGAGCTAGCTGACCTCCTACACAGGAGAGATCATCTTTGGACAACTGCGAGAAAATCTGACTCAGACACTGATTGGTTGAGTTTTCGACAGATGAGGAATAAATGCACAACTGCCATCAAAGCTGCAAAACGCAACTATTTCTTATCTCAGACCTCCAAAAATCTAAATGACCCCAACAGATTCTGGAAAACAATCAAATCTCTCTCAGGCACCCCCAAATCATCTGACCTCCCATCACAACTTCTCGTTAACTCTGTTCCTGTGTCAAATAAGCACGAGATCCTGAACTGTTTCAACAAACATTCTGTTGCTTCTAGTTCTTTTTTTTTTTTTAACAAGACTTTATTTTATTAGTTCTGTATTCCAATTCAATATTTAGCACATTAAGTCACAAACATCAATTTCCAGTATAATCAAACAAATCGGTACAACAAGAACATCCGAACGGTTCGGCGAGCTGAAAGTTCCAAAGAGTCTTAGTGGAATATAAAAAAACAGGTTACACTCAGAAAAATAAAGGGAAGGTCTTCCTCACGCGTTTTTTGTCTACATCTTAACAGAAACACATGTTAAACATACACACAGAGTATACCTGTGTATTTACATTTATTATACAATGTCAATTTCAAGAATGTTATCAAAGGGTTCCACCTTTTCTTAAATAAATCAATAGACATGTTTAGTTTTGCTGTTATTTTCTCCATTGTATAAATGCTCACCATTCTTTCTTTCCATTGATTTATAGTAGGGGGTAAAGGTTTATACCAACATAATGTTGTCATTTTTTTTGCTACCAGAACAAGTATTCCAAACAGGTACCGTTTTTCTTTACTTAATAGGTCACTCAGGAGCACTCCCAGAACAAAGACAAGGGGGTTCCATTCAATATAAATGTGTAAAATATTTGATATTTCCTCTCTAATTCCTTCCCAAAATGTTTTGTTTTAATCTTTGGACAATCCCAAAAGACATGCGTGTGATCTCCAACTAGTCCACATTGTCTCCAGCACAAATTTGATTTAGCTTTATCAAATCTTGAAATAATACATGGTGTTTTGAAATATCTAACGATTACTTACCAATAAAATTCTTTCCATGTTGGACTGTTAGTTTATGTCCATTTCCACACACTAACTCCCATTCTTGATCCTCAATCACAATGTTCATTTCTAGTTCCCACCTTGCCTTTATCCCAGCCCCCCCCCCCCCCGACATACATGACTGTAAACATTTATATAGATTTGACACAGTTTTATCAGATTTTTTTCTTTAGTGACCTTTATAAAGAGCATTTCTAAATCAGTAGGTCGTGATTTAAGAAGAGACCATTCAGTATGGGACATCGGGTAACTTCTCAACTGCAGAAATCTGTAAAAGTCAGAAGAAGGCAACCCATACTTCTCCTGAATCTGACCAAATGATTTCAGAATTTCCCCTTCAAACAAATCATCAATGAAAATTAAATTCTTTTTTTGCCAGACTCGAAACCCTTAATCATGTTGCCCTGGTAAAAAATCTATTATATCCAAAAATTTTAAAGCCCTAGATATAGATTGAGGTGCTTTCATATTTTTTCTAATCATGCTTAAGGTCTTTTGTGTAGTTTTCATCCACATGTTTGTAATTTTGTACTTGTTCCAGATTTCAGTTGAGCAAAATGCAAGCCCCTGTAATGAAAATTTAGGGCATGAACTTTGTTCTAGTGTCAACTAAGTTGTTTCTTTATTCTGTATTAACCAATCCACAGTTGCACACAGTTGTGCTGCCCAATAATATAGTTTTAAATTTGGTAAGTTAAGACCTCCGTAGGGCTTCCCATAGGTCAACCGGGTAAATTTTATTCTAGCCTTTCTTTTCTG